AAAATATATAATTTTTCTTCATGTTCTGCAAAACCTTTTGCTTGTTCTGTGACAATCCTTCATGCTGCTTTTAATTTGTCTTTGTATTTGTCAGCATGTCTAGAAGTTTCAATAAGTGTATAGTGTAGTTTGTTTAGAGTTTATATTATTTTGGTTAATTTATTTGTCTTATATTATTTTTCCCCTTTTTTCAGAATCGTTATGTTGTTGATGAAAACCAAGCACAGACATCTTTTTATCCTTCTGCAGTGACCAGTTCTGAACCTGCATCTTGGAACGTGCAGAGTGTGGCAAATCACTTCACTGAGAATGGAAACATTTCAAATCCCACTTACCACCATGTTCAGTATGTGGATTCATCCACAAGACAAGATGGAACAAATTCAGCAGCTGTTGCTACTTCATCAAGTTTAGCAACAACAAATGTCCAACAAGATTACAGTAGCTATGCATCATACCCGAGTTCTACTGATCCTTATGGGTATGGGTCTGCAGGATACCCAGGTTACCATAACAGTTATCAGCAACAACCTAACAGTTCCTACTCTCAGCCAGTAGGAGCATATCAAAATACAGGTGCTCCTTATCAGCCCCTTTCCTCATTTCAGAATACAGGGTCTTATGTTGGGCCTGCAAGTTATTCAAGCACTTACTACAATCCTGGTGATTATCAGACAGCTGGAGGTTACCCAAGTAGCAGTTATAGTCATCAGACGACGACATGGAATGGAGGCAATTATGCAAATTACACAACTCCCCAATATTCAAGCTACACTGCAGACACAACTGGAGCTTATGCTTCTGTTAATGTTGCTTCAACATCATTGCATTATCAACAGCATTACAAGCAATGGGCAGATTATTACAATCAGACAGAAGTCAGTTGTGCTCCTGGGACAGAAAATTTGAATGTTTCCACTACATCTAATCAGGTGTGTCAGGTTCCTGGTGTTAGTGGTGGATATCTTCCAACTTCCAACAGCCAAACCACCCCATCTTTTACCCCATCTTGGAGGCCAGAGTCTAGCTCATCTCAAACGCCTTCTCTAACACCTTCTCAAACACCCTCATTGCAGGTTTGAGTTTTGTTGATTGAATATTGTAGGATAAGCTAGATGAGTTGACCTCTGTACTTTTGATCCATCATGTTTGCTTTTGTAGTCAATTATGTTGAATTATGATCTATCTTTTGTCATGCTTTATTTGACTGTGATGATCTTTTAGTTGAAAGAGTTTTCATCTTCTTCTGCCTTTTTTGTCAGCCTAGTGTGGCAGTTAGTGGTGCTTATGATAATTACTGGAAACATGGTGCTCCTAGTTTTCAAAATCAGCAAGCAAGTCCTATGCGGCCATATTTTCAGAAGCCCTTGGAGTCAAAAACTTCTTATGACAACTTTCAGGAACAACAGAAAGCTGCATGCCCTCAAGGTCTCAATTTACAATATCCTTCTGCTCATCAGGCACCTCAGAGTTGCCATCAGCCCATGCAACCACTTCCATCATTAGATGCACAGAGGACAAGCAAACTTCAGATACAAACAAACCCTAGAATTGCTTCAAATTTGCCACTGGGTTTGCAAAAAACTGATAAGGATAGCTCTAACAACAATGCAGCAGCTAAACCTGCTTATATCAGTGTTTCATTCCCTAAATCCAATCAGAAAGTATTGCCCAATGATGCAGCTGATTCTGTACTTAAGGTGGGAGTTTATACTTATGGCTTTCAGTTCTCAAAATTTCTCTCTCTATGTCTGAATCTTTTACTTGGTAGCTGAAATCATTGGCTGGTAGGTTAAAATGTCTACCTGATTTATAGTTACTAGTTTCAAGTGTTGCACTTTATCCAGAGATAAGTCTATTGTTTCATGTGCAACATTGCTTCTTCATAATCAGTTCTTGCATCTGTGTTGGAGATTTAGTCTGTGAAGCAGTTACTTTCTTCTTCTTCTTCTTCTTCTTTTTTATGAATAAAAATTGTTTTAAATATTGAACATGTGTGCACTCTGCATGTTTGTGTTTTTCTGGGTACATGATCTGTTATTCGTTCATTCCTTCTATTTGAGCAAGTCTTTGAATTTATTTGAGCCCCAATATCCATTTCCATATTGGCCTGTAACTCCACCAATTATTGAATGACTTTATTACTGAGTTTTCATGCTGATTGGAAAAAATATATATATAATTACTGGGTTTTCATAAAATTCAGTGTTACGAATATTTATGCCATGACAGCACTAGTTTTGGCTTTTAGTTGGTTGGCTGGCATTTGGGGAAGTTGGCATGCCTTTTAATTTTATTGATTTTTCTTTTGCACTAATCATAGATTTCAAATGTACTCTAGTTATGTTAGGTGAATATTTAAGTTGCCCTACATATTTTCTTGCAGCCTGGTGTGTTCCCTAAATCATTGCGGGTGTATGTTGAAAGGGCATTGGCTAGTTGTAAAGATGATACACAGAAGGCAGCTTGCCAAGCTATCATGAAGGAGGTGAGTCAGTTTGGTTACAACCATTCCAAAATTGTTATTAGATCATTTGGATAAGGAAAGGACGTTGCAAAATTTTCTTATTAAATTTAAGTAATCTTATTTGATTTAATATTTTTTATTTGCATTGGGATTCCATTTTAAAATTAAGACTTAGAGGAATAGATGATCGACCTAAACTTAAAAAGATTTTTCTATTAGTTTTTTTATAGTACTTCTTTGATCTAAATCGGCAGTACCTTTTGTTTGATCATCTGAGGAATGTTATCTAGTTTTTATATGTCAGATTTATTTGATGTCATTCAAATTGAGAGGCGATCTATACCAAACCATGCTTCAAGTAGTAGAATTTGACTGTTTTGTTTGTTTGCTACTTGTTTATTTGAATTTCATTGGCTAGACATTTTGGCGTACCTGAAGTTTATCTATTTGCCTGGTTGCTTTATGAATAGATTGTTATTCATATCCCCCCCCCCCCCCTTCCTCCTTTTTCCATTCAGATCATTACCAAGGCAACAGCAGATGGAACACTTTCTACAAAAGACTGGGATAATGAACCTCTCTTTCCTCTACTAAATGCAGATATGGTTGATAAGGAGTATGTGTTCTTCATTCCCTCTCTAGACTCAGTTTCAGGCTTGCATTTTCCTGGAAATATTAGCTTTCCTTGACTTTCATAGTTGTTGCACTGTTGATATGCATCCATTTTGAGTTTATATTTGGTTCCATCCTCTCTTGTTTTGTTTTCCTTTAATTTCCTGTTGCAGCAGTTTGCAGAGTTCAACTCCTGCTTCATTACCAAAATATAAGATGAGCCCCTCTAGACGATCCAAAAGTAGGTGGGAGCCTTTGCCACAGGAGAAATCAGTTGACAAATTGGCTTCTATGAATAATGACACTGCAAAATTTGGTGGCTGGATTCATGCCAGTGAAAAGGATAAAAAGGTATTCTATAACTCTCTTTTTCTAAATGATTCTTTCGTTCTAAAACCTGGTATAATTTATGGTTTTCTTTTCTTAATATCAGTTTGGTGTTATAACTTGTTATTCATAGTTGAGATGCACATTTCCATTTCAAATGACTTAACAAATTTACTGGGTGGAATCAAAATTTTCTGCAGCCTATGAGTGGGAATTTGGAGAGTAAGAGTGATGGTTTCAGTAATACCAGATTTTCTCTAATGGAGCAGAAATCTGCCAGTAAACCTTTCCAGAGGCCAGTTAAGAGGCAGTGTCTTATTGATAGAAATGCTACTGATAATGGTGATGCCTCAAGTGATAGTGACAAGGAGCAAAGTTTAACAGCATATTACTCTAGTGCAATTGCACTTGCTAACACCCCAGAGGAAAGAAAGAGACGTGAAAATCGTTCTAAGCGTTTTGAAAGGGCACAAGGGAATCGAGCAGTAATTAATCACTTTAAAACGAAAAATATTGGCACTGGAAACTTGTACACTAGAAGGGCTAGTGCTATGGTGCTTAGCAAAAGCTTTGAAGATGGTGGTGGCAGGGCTGTTGAAGACATTGATTGGGATGCCCTAACTGTGAAAGGCACCTGCCAGGAAATCGAGAAACGTTATTTGCGCCTTACTTCTGCACCTGATCCTTCCACTGTAATATGCTATCTCATTTCACTTTTGTGGACTGGTTATTCTGTGCTTTAGAGAATTGAGTAATGATTATGCTGTTTGTCTTGCTTAAAATCTGTATTGCCTTACAGGTGAGACCTGAGGAAGTTCTGGAAAAGGCTCTGCTTATGGTCCAAAATTCCCAAAAGAACTACCTTTATAAGTGTGACCAGTTGAAGTCTATCCGCCAAGATCTAACAGTACAACGAGTACGTAACCAGCTAACTGTTAAGGTATGACCCTCCCCTGTGCAGCAAAGTGACATTTAAAAAAAAAAAAAAAGCCGGGATATAATGCCTATACAATGCTTAATTTATGTTTTTGTTTTACTCATGCAGGTTTATGAAACTCATGCTAGATTGGCACTGGAAGTTGGGGACCTGCCTGAATATAATCAGGTCAGTCTTGTTGAGAACAGTTTATTGTGATTTTCTTAGTTGGCACACCTTTTATCAGAAATAGTTCTGAGCAGTGAGCAACATCATGGTTTTCTTTCTTGGACTAGAATCAGTTTGTTTCTCATTGACTATCATGAACTGTTGGAAGCTATGCTGTTATGGCATTTGTATTCTAGAGAGCCTTTTTCCTAATTTTGTTTTTTTGCTTTTTTGTTTTGGGTTCAGTGCCAATCACAATTGAAAATCCTTTATGCTGAAGGAATCAAGGGATGCCATATGGAATTTGCTGCTTACAACTTACTTGGTGTTATCTTGCACTCTAACAACAAGAGAGAGCTCTTATCATCGATGGCAAGGTTAGTAATGCTTATGTTATCTTTCTCTTTTGGTTTGCCGGCCTTGCCCTGTTATGTCATCATCAGTATGATGTAAAGAATACAGGTGGCTTGAATGATCAAATAATTTCCCCTGCATCCTTCATTTCTTATGATGACCTGCTGAGTTTGGGTATTTTGAAAGCATTCTTTTCCATTTTCCATACATTAGTGTCCACTTGAGGCTTAAGTGAATTAGATTAGTAATTCAAACCAGCCTATTTCATGTTGTTGCCAGATTATCTGATGAAGCAAAGAAAGATAGAGCAGTTCAACATGCACTTGCAGTTCGTGCAGCTGTGACTTCAGGCAATTATGTTATGTTCTTCCGACTCTACAAGACAGCTCCTAACTTGAACACCTCCCTTATGGGTAAGTTTAGTCAATGATTATTATCTCAACATTTATGGCTAGCATCAACAATATAAATTAGAATGTGCTAAAGGTTCTATTCCTTGTTTCTCCATTTCCTCGTCATTTCCTCATGGTTGTTTGTGCAGATCTTTATGTCGAGAAGATGCGTTATAAGGCTGTGAGCTGCATGTCCCGTTCGTATCGCCCTACTGTGCCTGTTTCATACGTTGCTCAGGTTCTGGGGTTTGCTAGTACTGTACCTTCTATTGAAGGAATTGATGACAAAGATTCAGATGGATTAGAGGAGTGTGTAGAATGGTTGAAGGCACATGGTGCATGTCTTGTTGCAGAAAATAACGGGGAGGTGCAGCTTGATGCAAAGGTAGTTCATTCATCTTCTAGGTCTACATGAACATGACTGATCTATATTACCATAAAAACATTAAAAAAAAATGTTTAGCGGTCATCACTTACCAGGACAACTTATCACCATGGGCTTTTTAAGCAGCCTCGCAATGTTGAAGCGTTATTAAGTAATAATAATAACAACCTAATTTATACGATGAGTATCGACACTCCAAGCAGACTGTTTCCACATTTTCACTATCCTAAACAATGCATAGCCACATGGGAGACACTAGAAAGGATGGTTTAGTTTTTGCTTGCTACGACTGATTTGGGTGTTTTTAATGTGCAGGCTTCATCTTCTAGTCTCTACATGCCAGAGCCTGAAGATGCTGTGGCTCATGGAGATGCAAATCTTGCTGTTAATGACTTTTTGACACGGACTCCATCCTAGCTAAGGTATTCATATTTCGTTGCACTTAAACCCCATATCATGAAAGTGTGGAAATTGTTGACGCACAACAAAGAAGATTGTAAACATTTCCAGAATTACCGTGTAGTCCGAGGAAGTTAATCCCACAGGTATTGCCATTAACTTTTAGGGAGGATGGATAAAAGCTGTATAAAATGAAATACTAATGAGAGAATTTTAATATACCCCCTATTGAGGGCTTGTGCTAAGCATTGTAGTGTAGTGGTCCTCATCTTTTTGGAACATCAGTTCATTCTTTCTTGGTAAGAAAATAGATGTACGCTAGGGGAACATGAAATCATTAAAATAAGGAAAATTGACTAGAATATATATTTTTCTGTAAAATTTTTTTAGTACATAGATCATATAAGATGGATAATACAAGAGGGATAGCCCTTTTCTTTTCTTGAATCTTTTCTCACCTCACTCGACTTGACTTAATGTTCAAATTTAATATCTTTAATTTAAATATATATACTTTTATAAATGAATGCTTCACGATTGTGTCTAATGTTTTGCCATAGAGTGTGTTCTTATGATATAGGGGGTGTTTGGACTAACCCCTCAAAATGTAGCTAATAACAATAGCTTATATTTGATAGTCGATAATTATTTATAATGTAAATTGAGTAAGAGATTTTTTTTTTTATAATACAAATATTCTTATTTGATGAAATTTTGGGCATTAGAAAACAAAAAATAAACAGTTTTTTATCCGAATTTTCATAACTAAAAGACATATCCTCTCGTCCTCTCTGTTTGCCATGGTTTTGCATTCTTAAAAGGAGCAATTTGGGATCATTGATTATGCTAAATATATGTTTAAAAATACAATTTTTTTCTATTAAATAGTTATAAATGTTAGATAACTTAAGATTAAGCATGTATACTTTATTTGAATGGGAGATTTAGTTAAAGCCCTTAGTTCCTAAAAATATTAATAATTAAGGTTTTGTTTATATGGTAGTAGTTCTGGATTTTTAGTTCTAGTTTTTATTAATTTTATAATTCTAAACAAAAAAAAAAAAAAATTGTTTACTTTTACATGATTTTATAACATATTATTATTATTATTAAAGAAATAAAATAAAAATAATTTTAATACTAGTAAAAAATCATTTTTACTTGTTAGTATTAAAATTTGTTTTAAATCAATTTTTAATTTTTAATTTTTAGTTTTATCTTTTAGTAAGAGCCAAAAAAAAAAAAAAGAGGTTAAAAACAAAGTAACAGGAAAAATATTCTCAAGTTTATAATCATCAGTCAAGGAGGTAGAAAGTAGAAACACTCTCTCTCAGTGAATCAGTTCTCACTTCTCAGAAACTTCTTCTTGATTTGCGGAAAATTAATCATTGCAAAAGAAAAGGGATAAGATCAAGACCATACATAGAGGTTATAGCATAGCATATGCCTGGTCTTTGGTTCTTACCAGAAAAATATACCTGGTCTTTGGGGCGGTGGGAAATGCTAAAGTCATTGATCGTGTAGTTCTGATTCACGAGATTTGGCTGCATATATTCTTGCTTTGAGCAGAAGACGGCTAGAATCTTTTCTAAAGAGTGTCTTTATTGATTGCGTTTAGGCTAAGCTGTTCTTGACCTGTTTCATTCGTCTCTAAAAACTTCAACACCCCCAATCCCATGACATATATACCATGAACAAGAGATCAACGCATATGCCGAATATTGCAGCGGTGTCCACTGCAGAGAATGGTGGCAGTCAGTCACAATCAGGAAACCTAGGTGGAGGACACATGGAGGAGCATGCTATGCAGAGGCCAAAGGGCCAAGGAACCCATAATCAGCAGCAGACAACATCTCCAGGTGGGATTTTATCTTCAGTGAAACATCCTGCAGAAGTTGATAATCCGCCTATAGATCAACAAACCCAAAACCATCAAAACCAGCAACAGAAAACATATCCATCTCCAGCTGCAGAAGCTGGTCATTCCCAGCCAACCTATGGAAATTCTTACAATTTCCAGCAAGGGCACCAGGAAACTTCTATCAATTCACAGCAACGGCAGCATTTCACTGAGAATCAACCAAAAGGAATTTCCGTGGGACAACACTCTCAAGTTAATATTATTGTTTGTGCTCCAGTTCCACCGCCGCAGGAATCCACGAAAGAAAAGTCAGACTGTACTTGTTGTGTCGTCCTTTGATTCAGTTAAGAGTTAAAAGGGATATACTACTTTTGTATATGTTTCATATGTGGTGAAATAGCCAATATTCCCCCCGCTCTAGCAGTCATCATTCAGGAGCTGTTCCTCTCAAATATTTTTGGCCGATTGTTCCTCTCAAATTCAGCATGCCAATTTACATCACAATTTGTTGTTTTATTCTCACTCTTTTTTTATTTTTTAGCTGTGTTGTATCCCTCAAACAATCTGTATATATTTCCAAACTAATCACTTTTTGATTCGGTCAAAATTACCTCATCAAAAGTTTTTTTTTTTTTTCCTCTTTTACTAAAATTGAAGATAGTGGCAATTTCATCAATCAACTTCTTTTCATGAATTTTTTTTTTACCATTTTTTAGGGGTTTGGGTGGGGGGCTTTTTTCAAATTTTTGTTGGATTTTGAATTCGAACTAATTAATTTAAATACCTTAAAAATTAAGATAAACCATTTAAATCCAAAAATTCAGTTGCTTTTCATGAAATTTTTTGTCCTTCCCTTTTTCGACTATTCAATCTCCATGACATCATCTCTTGTAACTTCAATTTTCTAGCCATTGAAAGCCGGGTGTGATTATACCCACTCTAAGTTTTCTAAAGCCACACAAATTTAGTATTTATTGTCTTTGAAAATATAAAGCCAATAATTAATAAAATAATTTATATTTATTATTTGATAAATTAAAAAATTATAAATTAATATTTTTAAATATCATAAATTTATAATTAATTATTTAAAAATTATTAACAAATAAAATATCAATAAAAACATGAGAAGTTGTGTGACTTTAATAATTTTAAATTTAGTCATTCTCACATTCTGGAAAACCTTCAAAAGGACTTTCTTTGAAAAAAAAGGGTGCTGCAATAGGGAGCGACGGTCCCTAAAGCTTTGTGTTTTAATTTCTTAAATCTTCAACATTTTTATTTTTATTTTTTAAGTCCTTACTAATTTTTAGTTTTATATTTTAGTTCTAATTAGTTTTTAAATGGAAAGTCAATCTTAAGGCATAAATTCTCAACCATAAACCTTAAATATTGAGCTTAGAAATATAAACTTGAAAATTTTAAACTCTTAACACATTAAACACTAAATATTAAACCCAAAAAAAATTAAATCATAGCACAAAAATTAAACCATTCAACCTAACAAATCTAAAATTTACACAATACTCAGGTAGGCTTTGTTTATTAGTATTTCACGTAGACTTTTAGACCTTTTTCACACTATACCTTATTTAAAGATGTAAAATAATTCTAATTATTTTTAAAATTTTTTATATACTTTTATTAATTTTAATTAATATTTGATATTTTTTTTGGATAGTAAAAGATTAAAAACTGTAGTTACAGTATAGCGCAATATTAACAAACAAAACCTTAATTTTAAAAAATCTAAATCCTAACAACCTAAAACTAAACAATAAAAATCATAAACCCTAATACCTTAAATATTAAATCCTAAAAAATCTAAATCTTAACTCTCAAAATACTAAACTCTAAAAAATTTAAACCTTAAACCCTAAATTCTATCACACTAAATATGAACATTAAAAATCTAAACTGAAATACTCTAATTACTAAACCCTAAAAAATGTAAATCCTAACACTAAAAAAATTTAAATCTTAAAACCCTAAATGGTAGACCTTAAAAAAATATTATTGATCTACTAAATCAAAATATAATGTTTTATTTTAGGATAATGATGTTGTTTTTAAAGGTTTAAAAGTTAAAATCTTATAAATTTGAGTGCCTAACCACTGTTTACTGCTTTTATATAAAATAAAAGGTAAAAGAGATAAACAAATCCGACAGATGTGGCATTGCCACGTTTGCTCGGTCTTGATCTGGCTTGACGGCCATCGGCCTCTCCAGCATTATTCACAGAAAAAAAAAAAAAAAAGAATAATAATCTTTTGAGAAATCTATACTCAGCCCCTACACTTTGTTGAGACGCAGTTTGTCTTCGGTTATTAACTAACTGTTAGTATATGTTTACACA